CACTCAGAAACAATGATCATCAACAACATTTGGACAGCAGCTTCCAGTACAGCGAAAATGCCCGGATGAACTCAGGAGATCGGACCGGCCAAACAACTCCCACGTGATTGATTTGGATTGACCTCCCGCTTCTTAACCACTCACAATGAGCCTGCCAGTTAATCTCTAACGTTGGAAGAGTATACTAAATACTCACGCCGGTGAAACGTCTGGCCTAAGAACCGAAAACGACAAACAGTTCCAAAGCGAGTACTCAACGACTGATCCACATATTCATTGTTCTTGCTGGCACCTTTTTGACTGGCCTACTAATTTTCTTTTGTTGTTCACACCCTCACTAATTTGAAGCCTCGTCACCCATGTTCACGACCAAGAAAGGCGGAGAACTGAAAAACTTTCAGAGCTAACATAGAAGAAAAACGGGGAACTCATTTGAAACAACTTCGTCGAATCTGACCCGAAACTGAGTTGTTGGGAAGAGGGAAACGTGATAAGACCTCATTCCTATATTAACGCTGGTATATGATCTCTGTCGTGCAGAACAAATAATGAGTCTTGGAGTTTTGGTAAATATAAGCAACGCTCATGGATTGGGATTTATTGAAGTTGCAGCAGTAATTAGTTGAATGCTCTTGATTGTTCAGGTACAGAGGGGAGGGGGGTTGTTCAGTTGATAAATGAGTGGTTTAGAAATTGCTTACTAGATATAAACGTTTCCAGAAAAGATTGCTGTATAATCTCCACAGTGGTGGAGTAGACTTTTGTAGAATCTTATAATACTATATTCAGTATGTATCAGCAGATGGAATAAATTCGATAAAAAGTAATTGGGGGTGTTCGAACTCGTCGATTGATTATTTCAATTCCGTATTTTTTCAACTGTAATTCCACACAGTCGTGATATATGTGGAATGCTTTCAATTATTTTGGACTGCGATAGAAATTTCTGGATTATAAACTTCCAACAATTTGAAAAGCACGCCTGCCAAGTAGAAACGGGAAACTTCTTCTTTGATGAGGAATAGATGCCTTTTATATCAAATTTCCCTTTTGCTCATTTCATAACGACTTGGGATGTCTTTGCATGTTCTGGAATCTTGTGGAATGCTTTCGAATATTCTGGACCACTAGATAAGTTTCTAAAAGGCAATCATTCTAGTTCGTATATCATCAAAAGCAATCCTTCGAGTTGAAAACAGGAACTTTTTCCATAAATGATGTTCTCGAACGTTCTAAATTTTCCCAAACATTTCACCACATTCCAGAATGGTATGAAATCTTTCGGAGTGCTTTTGAACACTCTCGAATATTCCGAACGGTTTTCTTAGTTGTTGGTGAGCGAAACTTCTAGGCCTTATATCTTCCAAAGAAAGCTATGTTTTGGAATGTTTCGGAATACTCTCGAATGCTTTCGAATGTTCTGGATCTTCTTCATGGACAAGCTGATGTAAAACTACGATTGCATATTGAAAGAAGAACCAAAAAAGTCCATAAGACCATCCATATCAAACACAGCATTCACCAAAGGGACTAGAACCCTATATTAAGGCAAAGCAGAACTACCAGGCTAAAACACAGATGGTGCTACTAGTTTCAAATCAATATGTGATTTTTAGTTAACCTTAAATTTCATTAGATAAGTGACCAAAATTCGGACTATAAGTTTATGAGAGAGAACATTTTGAGTGAAGAAACTTTTGCTATTCTGAAAAAAAAGGATGAAAAAGAATTTCGTGGGTTGATAGAGCATTGCTTTTTGGGAAAAGGATACTGTTGAAGACAAGACTTTGTTCTTTGCACTGTTGAGAAGTTGTTTGCCATGTTCAAACGAAGTGAAATGAGCCCGAAAACATAAAAAAGTCCACGAAATAATTTTGCCCGACTACAAAGTGCAAAGTTGATCGAGATAGTTGAGGCTTCAGAGATAACAAAGGAACGAGTTAGACGTCCTCAGGAAGTTTATTCCACATAAACGTAATTCTTCAGATGAGAGAGTTCTTGAACAGTGAAGTTCGAAATGTACTGAGTAGAACCTCAAAACAATGAGCCACAGTCCGTCGCGTATTTCTGATATGTACCGCTCTTGGTGAAATCAAATATGCCAAGTCACTTGAACACTTCCCGTGAAGGTTTATATAGAACAGAGACAAATCTCCAACCTTTCTTCGATGTTCCAGGATAACGAGGTTGCACGTGATGTTTGAGTCTCCAATCAGGCGTATGGCTCTTTTCTGAATAGAATCCAGTAACTTCTCCTTACATGAGAACAATACTCCAAAGATGATCTGATCTGAGCTTTATAAAGCATCAAAAGTTGCTGAGGTTGTACAGTTTTCTGGTTTTGAGAAGCAGCATTTGCAGAGAGCGGAATTATCTGACCTGACATTATTATATCCGGTTCGGAGACATTTATCGTCTTGGAGAAAATCGATGCCTGGGTTTTTGTGGCATTGAATTGAACCTGATTACTTTCATCCCAATTCGAAATCACTTCTGGATCCTCATTGAGATATGCAACCTCCTGCTGTTGGTGAAGATGTGCCCCGATTGCCGATGTCCTAGAATCCAAATGGAATGACGAGACAAGTGTGATGTCGTTAGCAAAGCAATATATTGGATTCTTGGTTTTTTAAACCAATATTTTTGGAAGCAGACTAACACTCTAGTACATTCTCCTTGAAGGATTTCCAGAGCAACTTTTTTGGTTACAACTGGATATCTGCTTTGTTGAACCTTCAATACCGAATAAAGTGTAAATTGCACCAGACTAAACGCCGGGTCATGGTCTGGAAATAACTTCGTTGTTTCATGATCCATTTCACGAAACTGCGCTCTGAGCAATTACTTACAAGGGTGTAGGATAGTGGATAGCAAACTTGCTTTCTCACAAACGACGTTTTGTTCGTATTTTGCTACCCAACCGAAAGTTCACACTTTGACAGAAAGTTGCTTTCTGGCTGTTTACGTGACGGCAAAGACTGTGTAATTTGAATGTAATAATACGGAGGAAAGTCCGACGAAGAGTGAAAATCTCATTAACTTTTGATCAAAGCTGTCGGAAGCATCATAACCGTTCAGCTTCGAGAAAAACTTCCAGGGAAGAAAGACATGCGTTACATTTTCTCCAGGTATTCTATGTATCTGAATCGTAAAACAAATGTGTCAAAGAATAATGTTATAGATCCCGTCTTTTTATCGAGAATGTATTGAAAACAATAATGCATCATTCTTGGGGAGAGAACGATTGAGAGAGAACTAGTGAAGATTCAGGAAATATGGAGATAGGAAAATCAATTTGCAAGCACGCACAACTATCGAGAGCAATCAGTTTCCATCTAAACATGATAGCGACAGCAAGCGCAGTGAATTAGTGGAATGACTGTTGAGTTAGTGCACCACTGTGTAATGAGTACAGTGGCGGTATAAGTGGAAGACGATTCAGTGTGTAAAGTGAGCAAGTAACTTGAAGGAGATAGTGACGATTGGATGAATTTCCTCGTTTTTGATGTAACTGAATAAACAACTTTGAGAATAATCCGACATGATCTAACCTAAGAGTAGAGGAAAACAGAATGAAGTAGCAAAATAATTGGAAGAATGAGGGGAACAATAGAAGACACGAAAAGAACAGAAGGACCAGAAAGGAAACTGAAAAAAGAATGGATGGAAATGGGAGAAGCCGAAAAATTAAAGGAGCAGATCATGAATGTAAAGGAATAAAAACAATAGGGATGATGTTAGACTATTGAAGCATCACAACGAAATGAAGAAAAAACAAATTAATGGGAAAAGAGATGAACAAAAACGAGTTTTGAAACATCTTCCTCCATATGGAACGCAGAGAATCCTTGAGCATGGATAACCAAAACCACGTGAGATCTAACAAGCGAATGAAGGCAAATACGGTCTACAAACATATAATGTACAGGTTCTGTTATTGCTGTTATTGAGTTCTCTCATTGAGTGCAATCCCGCATTCACCAACCAACTTGGTTCATGAAACACGCTTCGAGAAGAGAATTGAGTTCTGGTGTTTGGTTTTCGATGCATTCTACGCCAGACGTTCAGTTTTACATGTGATTATGAAAAACAGTTTCACCTAACGCCCTTTCTTCGATTTGGTTCTCTACATTCGTTTTTCTATACCTCAAATTTTTTTCCAGGGCCAATCTCTCAATCTCTAACGATACTTCCACTGTACCACATATCTCCATATATGAACAAATAAGCCAGACTCTAGTCTATCTACTCTTGAAGCAGTTTCAAATTGTGATGAGTCATCTCAACAAGCATGAACGGAAGTTTGTTTGCGTTAATCATCATAATATAATAATAATTATGATATATTCATTGCCATGGGTTTCGACCCCCCAGATCTTAACTCTCGAGCTTTCAATCGCAAAGATATCATTCAGTTCAACCAATAAATGCTTACTGACATTGAATGCTGACGTTGACGCTTGAGCAGATACATGTTTTAACATTAAGGGTTATAAATTGAAAGTTCTTTGCCTCGTGGGAGAGATAGCAGAACACGTGATCAAATGAGGTGTGCAATTGCTCTCTCTCTCTTGTTCCTTGGAGAAACCTCTAGAAACTGCTGATCACTTGTAGAATCAACAGTCTTCAATGTCTTAAACAAGCACTCTTACCAAATACCAGAAATGCAATACTCACGACTCGAGCTTTACCAACCAAGTTGACGTCTTTAAGACATGAGGGGAACAGTTTTCTTCATCTCCTGATGAAATTTCACCATCTTGGTTGGTGAGAAGAGTATTGCATTTCTGGTGATTGGGGAAAGTGTTTGTTCTGGCTCGATTCTACGCCATATGTTCCAGTTTTACCTTTCATTAGTCTTCAGTGTGAATAGTAGGCTTCCTCTGAGTCCAATATTTTCATAGTGGTGAGTCGCCAGCACTGTCAAAGTTTGAGAGATGAATCTATAGGGACTACTCTTACCTATGACTATTTTTAGAAATCAGTAGTTGTATACTTACCTGACATGCGCATTGTGTCCTACAGTCCAAGCTGAAAGTCTCTCCATGAACATACGTATTGTTGAATACAATACATGGCACTCCTATTGGCTCTGAAAAAAAAGAATTAATATACATTGAACTATATTTCTGTTCAAAAAATAAGTTTTTCCGTTAACCAGCTGTCGCACCCCTACGAATGACAACCTTCAGAAAACGCCCCGTCCCACATTCTAGTATAAATCTTCCGATAAACTTCCGTAGGCTCAAGTGAATCGGTTTTCCTATAACCCGACTTCAGAACTTCTGCAATATTGTAGGAGTTTGAATGAATAGACTGGAACTTCGTGTTTCGCTCTTTTGACGAATTTTCCAGAACTTTAACAATTATCCAGGCGTTTTCGTGGATTTAGGGAAATATATTCAGATCTGTCAGAGTTCCCGTATTTGCTGAGATTGCTCTCTTCCTCTGAGAGTGAATGATTGTGTTTCATGTTTAGATGCTCCTGATATTGATGTAGTGTTTGATGAGGGTGGAGGGTACTGAAGAAACTTATGGTTTTTCGTTTCCACAAAGCCTTATTGGTTAACCGTAATGACTATGTGATAGTTTTGCAAATTCAATAAGGGTCAGCTGGGGCGATATTCGCCACGTAGTTTTCTGTTTCGTCAAAAGATTGAAAGAAAAGCGAATGGAACAGCTACCCTGATTATAAAAGTCCTTGGTGGAATGATACATTCCATAGAAGTTCTGCTAGCTGTAAAGGTAGAGGCCCAATCAACCTTTTTCTCTAATAATAACGAAGTCTTATTCTTGAATAAGATGTTTTGATGATTGCTCTGCGGGGAAACCAGCTGATGGACAGATTAAATTGTTATAAATCCAAGTACTCCCATTGAATTTAACTGTTATATTGCGCAAACACTAATATTCACACTGAAATTCCAATCCGAAGCATTGAATAGTTCAAAGTCAAGTGAAAAAAATATTATTAGATATAAAAAACCAAAACTGCCCAATTTGGTTCAAGTCTCATAGTAGTAATGGAAAACAAGTAGTGAAAACGAAAGGTAAACTCCCAGATATTGGAGTTCCTCAAGGTTCCGTACTAGGCCCCATCCCATTCCTTTCATATACAGTGCATTCCATTTAAAACGAGCCACCCTGATTAACTTTTTGTACAATGATTTGCAGGAAAAATGAAAAAAAACACGTCAACCATGGTATACAGGGTACACATTTTGACATATTCACATTTGATGTTACTTTCCCTATCGCACTTCCAGAGCATGTCACCAATTTTCTTAAATGTATCACCCTATATTGTTTCGCATTATCAGATGTTCCATGATTAGCAGATTTCAACAAAGTATAAAACATATGGTCTGAAGCTTTTGGTTAGGGAGCTACACATTATTTGAGTTGAATAACTTTTTTAATAGAACTTATTTTTTCTTTAACACCAATGAAATCCATTAGGAGTAATTAAGTACAGATCTATAAATGCTACTCACGGGTGGGAAAGAAAATATAGTTCGACAAGACAGTTGCTAGTAAAAGTAAACAGAAGATTTTCATATCGTTATTTGATCCAAATAAATTGGATGTTCGCATTTGTGGAGACTTTTCAGTTACTTTAAATCCGGTACTGGAAAATATCACTCACGGGTGGGAAAGAAAATATAGTTCGACAAGACAGTTGCTAGTAAAAGTAAACAGAAGATTTTCAAATCGTTATTTTATCCAAATGAATTGGATGTTCGCATTTGTGGAGACTTTTCAGTTACTTTAAATCCGGTACTGGAAAATATCACTTATCCGATTCCTAAAATAGAGGAGTTATTCACAAGACTCCAAGGTGGGAAATATTTTTCGAAAATAGATTTGAGGGAAGCATATCAACAATTGGCGGTAACAGAAGAAACCCGAAAATTATTGACCATATCTACTCATCGAGGACTTTTCAGTTATACCCGGCTCCCGTACGGAATAACCTCGGGACCATCAATTTTTCAGAAGATTATGGAAAATCTTTTGGCAGATATGGTGGGGGTGATAGTATTTATTGATGATATTTTGGTAACAGGTAAAACCGAAGACGAACATTTAAAAAGATTAGAATTAGTATTTAAAATTTTACAAAATAATGGGTTAAGGGTNCCGAAGACGATTGTAGATACCAACAATCGAAACGTCGTGAACTAACGTGACTTGGAATCTCTACACCTTTTTATTATTTTCTTTTTTCATTCCTTCAATTTTTTTATTTATTCAATTATTATATTTTTACTTGTAGGTTATTTCACTATCATTTCATTTCAGGTTTATTGTTGCTTAATATAATTGTTATTTTCAGCTATTCTTTTTTAATTATTCTTTTTTTACTTGTTTCAGGGATTTCAAATCATTTTATATAGTAGACAATTGAAGTCCGAACTAGTGAAATTCATCACGAAACATTGTCAATCACCTTCAAACATTGTCAATCACCTTCAAATCACCTTCAAACATCACCTTCATGATGGTGAAGGTTTGGAAAGAGGTGACCGAATTGAAACACCAACCAGACCCATGTTGCCAGTCAACCGGCTCCACGGTGCCGAAGTACGCCCATTTAATTTAGTCTCATTGACAGTTATTTTTAATTGCAGATAAATTCAAAGGCTTCTACTACAGGTTGAGGTGTATTTTGAAGCGAAAAAACTGCTCACGAGTCGAACTCCTTTTCGGAATGTTTGGGGTTTCAAGTTTTCAACTCGTTATCTGTTGGAAATTTTTTCCTTAGCTGATCCGGTTTGCTCAGTCCTTCAGGGTATTTTCATCTACTGGAGTATCATAATTTCTTCCTTCAGGGGGAAATTGTTATCATTAACCTAGATTTCGATTGCCTAATCGTATACTTGGTTGTACTGATTCATATATTGCCGCAGGAGCATGGAATGCTTTTAATCTCTGGGTTCCGTTGTAGTTATTTTATGTCCTTTGTTGAGCTTAGGCGATGCTAGATTCACTTGGTGGGCTCATTTATGGTCTTTATGATATATTTTCCATGGAGGTGACCAATCCTGTCAGTTTTGGAATGAAGGTCCTTGGTTGTTGGCTTCTGACTTGGTTCAGTTTCGAGATTGATTCTCATTGCTTCCTTCATGTGTCATTTGAAGCATCCATGATAGAAAAAATATTTTTTTAATTGTTACTAGATTAATTTATTGCTTTTGATATTTCAATAACTTCGATACTATTTCTTCTTCCACATATTTAAAAATTTTCACAACGTTTTTACACAACGCAAGTCTGAAGTTGTAACATTAACCCAGAAACATTGTGACACCCTTCCAAACAAACAATATTTTGATCTAGGGAATCTATTGATGTATGAAAATATAGTAACGATAACGACAATGAAGTTTACCTTACAGTTCGAAGGTAACAGGTACTTTCCAGTAACGTATTGCAAGAGGGAATGTTTAGCTTCGGGTGCTAGGGAAGGCTGTGTCATGGCTGCCAGGGTGACCAATCCGGCGACAGACACAGATACCACCAACATGCCTCCTGAAATCAACAATTTTAGAGATTTTTTCATTCAGTTGCAACAACGATCAACACATTCACTTCTTCTTCTACTATCACTCAAGGTGGATTCATGCACCTACTCGTTATCCTAAGATATAGTCGCAAATTTCAAGTTTTGAAAATTAATGTTTGTAATTTGTTATTACTAAAAATTGTCAACTCGTACACTATGAGTAAGTATATAAATATGTTTAAGGCTTTCTTCGTCACCATCTTCACATAAAAAATGTGGTAAACTTTCAAATAAAGGATGAAAGCAATTAATTTCAAAATAAATTGTTTACAAACATGTGTTCTATGCATGACCTAAACATTTTTGTGATGAGTTTCCCATATTTTTTGTATAAAGATGGGGAAGTAGAAAGGCAAAAGCTTCCTTTCCCAACAATCGAATCTTTCCCCTAATCTAGCTTCATTAGAATTTTATTTTTGCCATCAATCTCTGCTTCGATCGAAAAAAAAACAACATAACCTAAAAATGTAGTTACGTGATTCGTATTATGTGTCAAATATTCATGTTTCTCCATGAAAAGTCCTAAAGTGGAGTTATTTCTCATAATATTGAAAAAAACAATACAATTTTCAGCTGTATAGCATGATTGAGACTCGGGATCTACATAAAACTCCTTAGTTTCGATAATGTGCTATAACAGACACTTTTTTTCAAAGTAGCGCCATATTAAATGTGTGTTTTTCGACCTATACAGGTAACGTTATGAAATTTGTATTTTTGAAAAGGTAATAAAAGGTACTTCATGTCTGAAAGTAATAATACACATATCAATACGAAAAATAGTTGAATTGGATAGAGTTGGAATATTTGGTTTTTGTCAAAAAAAATGTGTTTTCATTATATATTCGCCTTAAATTAATGGAAAGGTAGTTAAATAATTTCTTGCTATTAAAAATGATAGAATTTTGTGTGAGGTGTGTGTGTGCTAGAGGTGTGAGAAGGGAAATGGGGTAAGACTGACGTATACTATAAGTTGAGGTGTTATTAAGTTGCTTTTTACATTTTTTCTGGATAAGACACACTGTTTCCAAAATAAAAAGACACACTAAGGTCAGAATTTTTTGCTTCACAAATAATGGGCGGCATTTCCCCAGAAACAAATTCCATAACGTAAATAGGACTCAATTTGTGCAAAATAAACTGGATCTTTTGGTGCCCCAA